CTTTTACAATATACGTTTTTTCCATATACCGGAGACATTATAATTTTATTTATTACACACATATATACATATACATGTTAGTTGTTAACGTTAGATATTTAGTAAATGGCCAATAGTTTTACGTTTTGAGAAGAAAATTAAAAAGAAGAGTAGTTACATTATCGACACGACGTAGTTGCGAACAATCAATTGCTACTATTTAGTTCGTACGGCGCTCGCTGGCGCTACGAGCAACCGCCCCGCTTGCCCTCCGATCCCTGCGCCAACCCCGCGAATTTTTAACGCCATCTGTACGGTGCCGACCTGAAGTCCACATGTTACGGTGCAGACAATATAGTAGCCTCTCTCTCCAGCTGCTTTGTGCGCATGCGGTGAACATTCAAGCACGTTTGGGCATTTCTCTTTCTCGCGTTCTTTCCAATGCTTTGTCTCGCTTGCATTCGCTTAGTAGACGCGCCTGCGCATAATGACGCTCGACTATCTATGCCCATATTTGGACTTCGTGCGTCTCTCTTTCTCGGGCCTCGTGCCTCTCATTGCGAAGATACGCGACTAGCAATATAGAAGTATTATATATATGAGCGTGCTGCTGTATGAAAAGGTACAGTCGGCGTTAATGAATTGTTTCGTGGACGCGGGGAGCTAGGGGTAAGAGGGACGGTATTCCCTAGCAGTAAATACTGTAATTGGTCAATTCATCGAAATCTGCTACAGTTAGTTAGTGCGGCGCCCGTTGGCAGTACTTACTCTTAGGGAATACCGTCTCTCTTACCCCTAGCTTCCGGGACTACGAAACGATTCATTGACGCCGACTGTACCTTCATGCAGCATGCTGTAAGAGAGGCAAAATTGTGAACACCAAATATTCAAGCGACCGTTACATTTCATAAAGTGTAATATTAATATCATTTGCATAAATATTCATCTTGTTATTTAACTATCGTTTACAATTAAATATATATTATGTACACGCTTGTAAAATTTTACGACAATGTACATTATGTATGTCCTTCAAGCGATGTTTTTAATACTAAAAGTCGAGGTATACAAGCAAAATATAGCAATGGATTTTGCTATCCCGCAAATGTTATTGCCAAAAATGGTAAACAAATTTTATTGAAATATGTTTTTCTATATATTATCTATACATGTTTATTTTATATTAGATTAATATACACACAGTGAGAAATAAAAAAATATACACTTAGTAAAAAGTAAATAATCATTCTTAAACAAATTGCATTCTACTTATATACATACTTATACATTAATGTTTTATAGATTCTTTTTTTATATTTCAGTTACATTCAGTAAAATATAACTTCATAATTATTACATATCTTTCTTTCCAAACTCAACAGAATACAAACTCATACATACACATATATTTTATAAAAGCAACAGCATAAATATATATATATATATATATATATATATATAGTTTTAATATTGTTTTATACTTATAATACAATAAAAAAATATAAAAAACCAAAAACTCTAGGGTTTAGGTTCTTTGATTTTTTCATTTTTTTCATTGTATTATAATTTGTTTCATTGAGCTGTTATTAATATTAATTATTTTATACTTGTCTTTCCAGATGATAAATATCTCTTGAAAACAATTTGTTCAAATATTAACTTAAACAAACCATATATACGATTAGTAAGTATCTTTGTCTCTGTTTCTGTCTCTGAATTTTTAAAGAATAATTACCAAAGAAACATTCTTACATCTCATAGTGAGTATATTTTATCTTATTTATACTTAGTTACAAAAACTTTTTCAAACCAAACTTCTATAGCTTGTATGTTAAAATCTTTTACATGTTTTGAAAATAAGCTATGAATGATAGATTGAGTACTCATGATGAGGAGATTGCTAATCAAGACCATAGTTATACGATAGACATTGAAGAAGATTTATCTTTTGGT